CTTTGCGAACTTGTGGGTAAATTATTGGTAAATGTGTAAGAAGGTATAGATAAATAGCGTTTATTGGTTGAAACCTCTGAATATATCTTGTGTATGAGAGAGCATCTTGAAAAAAGTCTTTTGCAGTTTCTTTTTAAGTATATGTCATTAACAAAATAGTTCCTCCTTACAATACATCCCAAAGTTTTTGTCTCTACCCAAGAACATGAACCGAAAAATGTCTGCTGGTCCTTCCAGAAATTCAGTGACTATCTAACTTGTTTTCAAATGGAGCTCCACCTAAAATCATAATTGTACAAATACATCATCCTTTCCTTATCTAATTGTTTACAGTATCATTGTAAGGTTCACCCTCCAATCCAAGTTTATACCTGTGGATCCTGCCAGTGCCACTTTACTTCCTGTGGTCCTTAGCTTTGCACCTCTGAATTAGAAATTCCATCTTCTGCCCTCCAATGTGTCTCCACATTAATGTGAGTGAATGATGTCATTGTGCCTGCACCCAATGTGCTTAGAACCACAGACACAGTGGGCTTGATTTACTAAAGACAAATATACAGAGCACTGCAAGTGCACTTGCTCCAAAGCTTAGCAAATGAGGTAAAGCTTCACTTTACAAAGAATACCCAATCACATCCAAGAAAAAAAAAAAAAACGCATTTTTGCTTCCACATGATTGGATGATAGAAATCAGCTGCGCTTCCCTGCATTTCAGCGCTTTCCCTCAGATCTAAAGCAACTGCACAGACTACTTGCCTTTAGTAAATCAACCCTTGTGCCTACGCTAAAGTACTATCTTGTCCCCTCCTGACCCTCAATAGACCACCTGGAGAGGAGGCAATTAGATCAAGGAGTCGGTGATTACGTGACTATAGTAAAATAATACTAATATTAACACTGGATTGTTTATTTTAAACACTTGCCTTTTCCCGCCAATGTCAATTTTCAGCTTTCAGCACTGTCACACTTTGAATGACAATTGCGTGGTCATGCAATACTAAACCCATATGAAATTTTATTTTTCATGCAAATAGAGCTTTCTTTTGGTGGTATTTAATCACCACTGGGGTTTTATTTTTTGCTAAAGAAATGAAAAAAGACCAAAAATCTTGACCCCCCCCCCCCCCCCCCAAAAAAAAAAAAAAAAACCTTTTTTCTTAGTTTCCCTTCTAAAATTTTGCAAACAGGTAATTTTTTTCCTTGACTGATGTGCTCTGATGAGGCTGCACTGATGGACACTCATAGACAGCACTGATGGGCACTGATTGACAGCACTGATGGACACCAATTGGCGTTGACAGGCTGCACTGATAATCAGTGCCCTGTCACTGATTTCCAGTGCAGCCTAGATGTCCCATTACACACTTGCTGGTTACTGGCTTTCCTCTCCACATGATGTGACAGCATGAGGGGAGGAAAAGCTGATAACCAGCAAGTGTTTTTACATTGTGATCAGCTGTGAGTGGACACAGCTGATCACGTGGTCAAGAGCCGCTGTGATTGGCCCTTTACCTCAGATGTGTTGCGGGGGGGCGTGGTTTGGGGAGGACATCAATAGATGCCTTCCCAGAACTGGACGACCGCGCTGTAGCTGTCCTTTGGCTGTAGCATGGTTGACAAGTGGTTAATAAACAAAATTGCTTACTGGAAAGGGATTTTCAATCTTCACCCTTGGATATCTTGATGTGCATATTTGTCCCATCCATTTTAGGCTGACAACTTATTGCACTGATATCCCCAACAGCATTATCCTCACTCACTCCTGCTGGTTAGAAAACATCTCCCTCTCATGTTATGGAGATGAGAAAGGGGAAGTGCTTTGAAATCTAGCTGGGCAGTGCTCAAATAGGAAGCTGGGAGCACACTGAATTTCAGGCAGATCGACAGGAATTAAAAGCATTGTAGTTCTTGTTGAAATACGTTGCATACATACATGATATACAAGATATCTGTATATTTATGTTGATGTATGAAAAGGGTAATCCTCCACCAAGCTGAACTTAGACCTCAGTTTTTAGTAGTCAGGTGCCATAGAGTGTTTTGCCTTTGGCACTTGAATAACAGGTAAAACCTTGACTTCAGCAAAAGTTCAAGGCCCATGTACAGCCTGGGCTTAGGATCCAGGAGACTGCATTGGGACAAATTTGAAAACTAAGACTAGCTGTACACGTCGGATCTCCAAGAGCTGGCCCATAAAGTCTTAGTGAGTTGAATATAACTGAATGGATATAAGCATTTTGTATGTATTATAAGAAAGTTGAACTTTCAGTTTAAAGCGGAATTAAACTGTACTATATTTTAATATATAATAAATGGCCTGCCTGCAGCTTTATGTACATACAGTGCTAGTGTGCACCTCATATTAGCACATTATGGCAGACTTGCCTGTCAACAATGCCCTCCATTGATAGCTGTTTGTACTTCCGATGGTCATGGGCACTTCCATCTTCTCCCGGTCTTCCTTTCAGTCTGTTTGACCCCTTGAATGGCAGGTCCGTAATGACATCACACCTGCGCATGCACATGGGAGTCACATTATAGTGGCACAAATTTATGCCTTAAATGTACGCTGAGCTGCATGTGCATGGGTCAGGGTACATTACCACTCACAGGCAGAGAGAAGCATTTTTGACATGAGAGACCAATAAGGTCTCTTCTGCCATAAAATCCCTACCTGTCTGTTTTTTTAATTTGAGTTTAATATGACTTTAACGTGGTAGTTCAGTCAAACTATAACTAAGGCAAAACCTACTCCCACCCTCATTCGAAGACTATTCCATCTACCTTGTGAAAGAATAGGTGCTTATATGTAACCTATTCTGAATCGGCTCCGTACTGGTCACATTAGGTTTTCCAGCACTGTCTTCAATGAAGAGGAGAGATCGCCAACAATGGCTACAGAGCCTGTGTGGGGATGTCACCTATAGGCTTACTATGGGGCATCTTTTGCGGTCTTCCCCTCCACACTGAAGTCGGCTCTGGGAGCTGATCCTGTGACTGGACTGGAGCAGCTTCAGAACAGGTAAATATAGGCATCTTGTCTTTCACAGGGTAGATAGTATAGTCTTAGAATGGGGGTGGTAGTACGTTTGCCCTAGTTAGATTTTGATTGAAATTCCACTTTGTGATTTTGAGAACTCCATGGTACCTTTCGCTGGCCTCTATGTCACTACAGGAATCGGCAGTGATGTTGGGGCTGGTGGAAGGATCGTCTTCTATTGTAGGATCAATGCAGTCACTTCAAGATGTAGATGTCCCATTTCACAGTGAAGTTTTTGCAGTTCTTTGACAAGATAAATACATTTATTGCTCTGCTAAACAAGTGATGAATGTTCATCAACTCTGAGTACTTAAACGTCCCTGTTGTCTGTGTAAATGAAAGGAGCCCTGTGAATTGTTAGTTGTGAACTCTTTTATTTGACAGTGTGATGGTCTTTAGGAAAACTTCTTTGTGTTGGGTGTAATGAAAGGCTGTAAATGTGTTGGGGCCTTGTATGACTACTATTTGTATATGATTAGCACACTGTAATCCTGTCAGCAGAACATTTATATTCACCAGCTGGAAATCCATAAAACCTAGTTCACACATCATTTAGTTTGTAGGCGCTAGTCTGATGGCATAGGGGTTGATTTACTAAAAAGCAAATATGCTGTTCACTTTGCAAGGGAATTTTCACCAGAGCTTAGAGGATGAGTTGAAGATCTGTCTACTTCCATCACCTAATGATGTGCAGGAAATGCAGTTTTTTTTTTTTCCCCCTCGTATATCTTTCGGTATTTTTTGCAATGTGAAATTTCACCACTTTCGCCAAGCCTTTGCCTTTAGTAAATTAGCCCCCTATGTGTACAGCTAGCATTTAGAAGGCTTTTTTGGTACATCTTGAAAGTGCCATTATTTGGGAGTGTCCTAGAATCAAATGTTTCGGGATCATGGTCTATCAGCTAGTTTTTTCTGTCCTTTCTGAATCCTAAACCATCCACATGCTTTCTTGACAAATTAGTTTTTATCTTCATAAAACACCAAACAGACCTTGGCTAGAGCCTGGTGGTTGGGAAACCGACCATTACTCAGGCGACAAAAGAATTGTCATGGTACTTGTTCAATGAAAAGCTGGTAGCCATCCTTCATCTTAAAGTAAAGGAATTTTTAAATATCTGGAATCTGTGGACCTTTCATTATTCATGGGGAGATTTCTCTCTGGATGATTTAACCCTCCATGAAGTGTCACCTCCCAATTGGGCATTTGCACCAGCCTGACTCCAACCCTCCATTCTGATTTCCCCCCCACCTCCTTTCCCTACACTCCACAGGCTGCATACTTTCTGTTGTCTATCCTTTGGGTCTTTTCTATTGTTTACATTCATTTTTTTTTCTTCTATTAAATAGGAGAGGTGCCTTTCTGTTAATGACTTCCCCCACTAAAGTACTAATGTTTTCATAGGGGTGCTTAATCTTAACTATCACCAGATCCCCGGTGAAAACTAGACCATATTTAACCTTAGCCCTGATAGGTTTATTTACCACTTATGACAGGGGCCTTACATATTCTCCTCATGCATGACACCTTCATGCACTTGCACCTGGATTTCAATTTTGTACCCTATGTCAGGATGTGTACTTCTTTATGTTTTTGTTCTGTGGTTATGTAAAACCTGCCCTTATTAACTACTTGCCGACCGCAGATAGCCGAATGACGGCTGCACTGCGGCCGGCCAGTTCTGGGTGGACGTCATATGACGTCCTTCCAGAACGCAGGGGGCGCGCACCCGGCGATCTCCGTGATCGCTGTGTCCTACGGACACAGCTGATCTCGTGACGTGGTGAAAGGCCAATCACAGCAGCCTTTTACCACGTGATCAGCTGTGTCCAATGACACGCTGATCACCGGGAAATGCAAATGCCGGTTCTCGGCTGCACTTTCCTCACGCTGTCAGATCGTGAGGAAAGTACTGCCGAAAACCGGCAGTTGTCAGAGCGGGGATCGGCACCGATCATCAGGGTCACTGATCATCAGTGCCCTGATGATCGGTGCTTAGCAGTGCCACACACAAGTTCCGTCCAAGTGCCCAGCAGTGTGCCCACCTGTGCCACCCAGCAGTGCCACCCACCAGTGCCCATCAGTGCAGCCCAGCAGTGCTGCCAGTCAGTGCCACCAGTCAGTGCCCAGCGGTTGTGCCAGTCAGTGCCCAGCAGTGATGTCAGTCAGTCAGTGCCACCTATCAGTGCTGTCTATCAGTACCCATTATCAGTGTCGCCTATCACTGCCACATATCAGTGCCACCTCATTAGTGCTGCCTATCAGTGCTGCCTATCCGTGTCACCTCATCAGTGCTGCCTATCAGTGCCCTTCAGTGCTGCCTATCGGTGCCGCCTATCAGTGCCCATCAGTGCTGTCTCATCAATGCACATCAGTGAAGGAGAAAAATTACCTGTTTGAAAAATTTTATAATAGAAACAAAGAAACTTTTCTTTTCACTTTTTTTTGCAATTTCTTTGCTTATAGCACAAAAGCTTATTTGAAAAATCTGTTATGTTGTGAGTTCTGCCTGTCTGCTCGCTGTCACCTTCCACAACTTCCTGGATTTCCTGCATGCTTTGCAACTTCTCTGCTGTTTAGTTTTAGTTTCTAAGATCTATATGCCTACATACAGACATGGACAAAAATATTTGAACCCCTGCTTTTCTGTCCGATAATGCACCACCTTGCCCAGAAAACTGTTGCAATTACAAATCTTTAGGCATTCTTATGTTTATTTCTTTGTTTGTAATGGTATGACACAAAAAAGTGGAGAAACAAAAAGCCAAATCTGACACATTCCACACAAAACTCCAAAATGGACTGGACAAAACTATTGGCATCCTCAATTTAATATTTGGTAGCACACCCCTTGGAAAAAAAATGACTGAAATGAATTACTTCTTGTAACCATCAATAGGTTTCTTACATCTTTCTACTGACATTTTGGACCAATCTTCTTTCTCCAACTGCTCCAGGTCTCTCAGATTGGAAGGGTTTCTTTTCCCATCTACTGTTTTGAGATCTCTCCACAGGTGCTCTATGGGATTGAGATCTGGACTCATTGCTGGTCAGTTCAGTACTCTCCAGCGCTTTGTCTGAAACCATTTCTGGGTGCATTTTGACATGTAATTTGGGTCATTGTCCTGCTGTAAGACCCATTACTTCTGACGGAGACCCAACTTTCTGACACTGGGCCCTACATTGCACCCCAGAATTCTTTGGTAGTCTTCAGATTTCATAACACCATGCACATGGTCAAGACATCCAGTGCCTAAAGCCGCAAAGCAACCCCAAACATCAGTGAACCTCCACTATGTTTGACTGTAGGGACTGTATTCTTTTCTTTAAAGGCCTCTTTGCTCTTTCTAAAAAACAGTAGAATGATGAGCTTTACCAAATGGCTGTAATTTTGTTTCATCTGTCCACAGCACATTCTCCCAAAAGGGTTTTGGCTTCCTCAGGTAAGTTTTTGCAAACTCCAATCTGGCTTTTTAAGTTTCTGTGTCAGCATTCAGATGGTGATGTATAGTGCGAGCTGACTCAGTTGTACCCTGTGACTGAATGTCAGCTTGAATTTGTATGGAAGTCGACCAAGATTCTGGAGATGGACTTGTAACCTTGAGATTGTCCATGCTTTTCTACAATTTTTGTTCTCAATCCTTAGACAATTATTTTCTGCTCTTTCTCTTCTCTATTCTCCATGTGGCACATAGAGACACAACAGAAATGTTGAGTAAATTTTTCACCATTTTAATTGCTTGTCGGTGTGATTTCTATATTGTCAGCACCTGTTAATTGATACAGGTAAGTTTAATTACAAATTACAGGAGCGCCACAAACTTGAAATGCAATTATTTCTTACAATTTTGAGAAGGTGCCAATAATTTTTTTCCAGTTTTGGGTGGAATGTGTCAGATTTGTCTTTTTGTTTCTCCACTTTTTTGTGTCATACCAATACAAACAAAAGAAATAAACATGAGAATGCCTAAAACATTTGTAATTGCAATAGTTTTCTGGGCGAAGTGTTGCATTTTCTGACAGAAATGCAGGGGTGCCAATAATGTTGGTCATAACTACATCCAATGGTACCTTGCTGCCTGCATGCAGTGATTCCTGTACTGCCTCCACCTCTTGAAACTCCTCCTCTCAGCAACTTTGTATTTCAGAAGGCAGGCTCTGTCATGTGTGTGACACAGCAGTGCCTACTCACAGGGCATAGTGAATATGTGTCACTGTATTCAAGAATGTAAATATGTGTGGGGATTTACACAAAGTAAGTTTACAAATGCCGAGATTGTTTTAGTTATTTAAGGTTCGGTTCACTAGTCGAGTTCAAAGTCACGCAATTTTCAGTGCGACTTTAGAGTCCATCTTTGATATGAATTTAATGTTACTTTGATATGACTTTTACTCTCTCTGGCACTGAAGCCGTATCAGAGACGCATCAAAGTAATTCTGGAACCTTTTCTGAAGTTGCAGCAACTTCAGTACTGTCAGTTGGAATGGCTTTCAGAGATGCATGGCCTGTGACGTATGGCCTCACAAGTAGGATCCTAAGTAGGCATATGCTAGAAATAACTGAAATATACTGTGTGACTTTTATCATTTAACCAGAGGTACACTTTAAGTAACATCTGGGTTTCTAAGGAAAATAAAACTACTGCTGCTCAACTTCTAAAACTCGCCATACACATTACAGTGTGACTGTTTAGTCTTTGTATAACCTCCTTTTAAGATTACCAAAACTACATATGTACATTGAGGACCTACGTAAATATACGCTTAGGTAGGCCCTTGTACAACATAGTTGTGTGTAGATCAAAAGGCTAATGTACAGTCAGACTGTACCATGCATGGTGAGTGGGAAGCTTAGATTAGATGATGCCTAGCTGGAGAGAGAGCACAGTGGTCTAGTGGTTAGCACTTTTACCTTTCAGCACTAGTCCATGGTTTCAATCCCAGCCAGGACACTATCTACATGGAGCTTGCACATTCTCCCTTTGCTTGCGTGTGTTTTTATCCAGATACTTTAGTTTCCTCCCACACTCTAAAGACATACTGGTTAATTGGCTCCTGTCTATTTTGACTCTAGTTTGTATGTACTAATTGGCTATGCACATGTGTTATCATATTCTGTGTGCTGGTCCCATGTAAATGAAGAGGGCTGAGGAAAGACCTGGCAACCTACCCCGGTAAACAAAGTTGTCCAGAAAATTCCATTGCAAAGGCCCTCAAGCTTAAATGACATGATCCCCAGAGAGCTGGCCCATAGAATTGCCAAGAGTTGGATTTGACTGTACGAATATCATACACACAGCTGCCATGAGCTTTTGTGGATAATTCATGTCATTAGAATGTGTAGAGTGTTTTTTTTTTTTTTTTCCCCTCTCAATCAGACACTGGTAGAATCAGTAAGCCACAGCCACTATGCAAGCAAGAAACAAAGCCCGCACGCATAATGAAAGAATTTAGCTCATGTAAATACATAATAACATGGAAACACGATTCATACAACATTAATAATCCAAAACGAAATATAAACTCAATCTTTCTAAAACTGAGTTTGTAATATTTTCTCCTCCCTGATCCCCCTTCATGACTTTACTATTGACTATACTATATCAACAGCTCAACCATTGGTCCCTTCGCACAAGCCAGGGTGCTAGGCATAATCCTAGACTTGGACTTCTCCTTTTGGCCTCCACATCCAATCACTGGCTAAATCCTTATGCCTCAACCTCCGCAACATATCAAGAATTCGCTCCTTCTAACGACACCACAAAACAACTTATTCACTCCCTGGTGATCTCCCGCTTTGACTACTGCAACTCCCTCCTCACTGGCCTACCATTACACAAACTATCCCCCTTTAGTCTATTATGAATGCTGTTGCCAAGTTTATACACCTTAGTAACCGATCCATGACTGCTGCCCTTCTCTGCCAATCTCCTACCTCCTCCCATTCTCGCCTCCAGGACCTCTTCCATCTTCTGGAACTCCCTACCCCAGTATGTCTGGTCAGCTCCTACCCTGTCCGCCTTTAGGCGATCCTTGAAAACGAATTTATTCAGGAAAGCCTACCCCACCTCCATCTAAAAAAAGCTGTACTTGTGTCACCTCCACCAGATCATCTCCTGCAGCTATTACCTTTGGCACCATCTCCCCCTCCTTTTAGGTTGTAATCTCCATGAGCAGGGCCCTCCTATTACTTCTGTATTGAACAATGTTGCAATTGTACTTTCCCCCTATATATATTGTAAAGCCTGCACAAACTGTTGGCATTATATAAATTTTGTATTCTAATAATAATATAAAAATCACACTACCCTTTAAGCATTTTGTATTTGGCAAAATAGAATATTAGAAGCAATCTCGACGCTTTAAATTTTTTTTTTTTTTTTTTTCATTGTGAAGTCAAATGGCTTAGAAGATTGTTACGCTTGGTTACTTTTCCAGTATTTCCCTTTTTTCTTTCATGAAGCCATTTGTGCTTGTTTTGAACGGATGGCAGGTTATTCAAGGTTAATCAATATATTCTTAAAATGTTTTCCTAGCTCATCACATGCTGGTTTGAAAGAAGAATCTTTAAAGTGTCCTTACTAATGCACAGGCCTGCTCCTTCTACTTATGAATAAGTGATGGGAATAGTTCTATGCAGATGAAAACTACTCCTCCCAGTACTGTACATGTATACTGAAGAGTGTTGTCACTAAGTGCAAGGCCTCAGACATGAGCTTCTGTATAATGGAAATTATCATGGATTTATAGGTGATTAGAAAAAAGAGTGATGTAAAGGACAGCTATTGGGACAGTATTGCATTCTGAAAGTGTATTGCTAGTAATTATAGTGTTCAGTAATTAAATTTTTTTTAAATGAAAGGATTAGTCCACCTTTTGGAAAAAAAACTAATAAATGCATATTAATAAAATAAAAATGTTTGGTTATAATACATTTTTGTACCAAAGCCTGCAGGCTATTGCAACTGCAATTAGTGTTTCATGGGTTCAATGCACAGGCTCCTGCAGATTCTTCTCCCATTCCCTGGTCAGTATGGAGGTATAAACGTACTTGTATTGGCACTATCTACAAGTCCTTCTGCCACAGTGGCAGATGGAACTTGTAGTCTTTCCATTCACAGATCATTTTGTTTCGTCTGGTGATGCTGACAGTAAAGTTTTCTGATGGTCTATGACATCTGTCCTGTCTGAAGGCTTCCTTTTTGTTTTGGTGGTGGCTTCAGCCTGAGCTGCATGTAGAAAACCTATAGATGTGATGCAGAGGCTTCACGTACACAGCTGCATGTCAAAATTTGACAGCTGTGCAGGAGCTCCTGCATGGCTGTCAAATTTTTTCATGCGGTGTGTCCATGCATCTTCATCCACCTTTTATAGGATGCCTGCAAACCACTCAGGGCAGATGCTACAA